AACAAGATTTCCGTCAGTTTTAGAAGGGATGCCTCATTCTAAGTCCTTCAAATGTACAATGGAACAAACCAAGATTTCAACTATTTAGGGTGGGTATTATAAAATAGCCTGTGATTCTCCATCTAATTTTTCACAATTATCCTCTCACAATTCAACAAAGTGTGAATGCAAGTTATTACTAACAGTATCTCAGTAAAAGTCATCCAGGGGCAAATATTTTGGTTCCCAGCTTGCTCCATTCCACTGAATTCAGGGGCAAAGTCATTGAAGATAAAAGATTTTTAGTCTTCTGCCTTTTTTATTTCCAACTTACTGAAGTAAAGAATTGAGTGATCAAAAGATAACTGCTTATATTAAAATAACACTGGAACACAACTGTGATTAAAATCTTGAGTGAGAAAAACACTAGAAGACCCATTAAAACCTATTCCTCACTTTTTCTTCGTGCTGGCGTCATGGTTGTCTTTACTGTCTTCATTGCTCTCCCCATTATGTTGTGGCTGATGACCATCTTGAGCGTCAGATCCTCCATTTAGAGTTTTTGACCCTTGGGAAGGAATCCAATAGAAAAACGGTGTTAACGCTTACAAAATAATAATTGGATGTCTTTCATCCGAAATTACATTGTAATACAGCGCTCTCTTGAATGTTAGAATTGGGTTTTCATGCTTTGTCAAAAAAAAAAAAAAAAAGGTGAGAAAGGGGATCACCACCAGAATCTTTGGGTAGCTAAGGTATCATAAAAAGCAGGATAACTTTCTATGGGTACAGGAAGTGGATTATTAATCTGATTTTTCTGGTTGTTACTATTACCAAGAAGACTACAGGGTGTTAACAATTCTTAGCATATTGATTTATTCTACTACTTCGAAAAAGCAATGTGAATCAAACTTTAAAAGATATTAGTGTTTAAGAACAAAATGTGTTAAAGGAGTATTTCCTAATTGATATTTTTATTCATAATAAAGGGGGCTTTCCTGTAAGTCGTATTAATAATTTTTTAAGGGGACACATTATTCCCTAATAAAGCAACAGAAAGACAAAAAAAACATCCAACTGCTTTTGAAATGTCAGCTTCTACCTTAAGCAGCTGACATGAAGATATTTAGTAATGACACTGGAGGAGCTGATAATGGTACTATGATTCTGTTTTAAGAGTCTTTCATACTTACATTCTGAAATGTTTATGAGTGAAATGATGTCTGGAATTTGTTATAAAATAACTTTCAAGAGAGGCACAGAGAAAGCTATGGGCTACAAAAGCACAATGATCATATACTAGTAACTGCCAAAGCTGAGTGACAGGGACGTAGGAAGTTATTTCTATTTGTGTACGTTACAAATTTTTCCTAATACACATGAAAATAACTGGATTCAATTATACTAATTTAGCAAAAGAGCGGAAGCTAAGGTTGAGTGCTCTACATAAATGCTACACATCTAAGTGCTTTATAAGACTTTCATTTAATAGATAAGGTACAGAACTGTTTTGGATTTGGGAATATTTGCATATATGTGAGTTTATCTTGGGGTTGGGACCCAGCCCTAAACATGAAATTCACTCATGTTGCACCTATATACATAGCCTAAAGGTAGTTTCACACAATTTTAATAATTTTATGTATGAAAGTCTGTGTACATTGAGAACCATTAGAAAGCAAAGATGTGCCGGGCGAGGTGGCTCAAGCCTGTAATCCCAGCACTGTGGGAGGCCGAGGCGGGTGGATCACGAGGTCAAGAGATCGAGACCATCCTGGTCAACATGGTGAAACCCCGTCTCTACTAAAATANCAGGAGGCTGAGGCAGGAGAATTGCCTGAACCCAGGAGGCGGAGGTTGCGGTGAGCCGAGATCGCGCCATTGCACTCCAGTCTGGGTAACAAGAGGGAAACTCCGTAAAAAAAAAAAAAAAAAAAAAAAAAGAAAGCAAAGATGTATCTTCGCTACCCATGTGGACAATCTTGGTCACTTGGCACTATCATTGTTGACTGAATTTATATGCTACCAATAAGCAATAATTTTCTTAAACTTATTCACACATAAGTACTTAATAGTAAAAATTATGATATGGCATTAATACAGTAAAGAGATAGTCTGTTCAGGGTAACTCAGCAGCATAGCAGCATCGCTAGAATACCTGTATCAGCTGTTAACAAGTAATGGCAGGTTTAGTCTCCACCTATGATGCTGCGTTTTAATTTAAAAGGCTACTATACGCTATTTTATTTTTTAGGTGAGAAGAAAACATCAGAAGCAGCTGAGCAACTAGGAAGTGGGTCCTCTAGGGATGAGGAGGCATTGTGATGGATGGCTTTTTAAAAATGTTTCTCCAGAGTCATCTGCCTCATGATCAATGGTTTTTGGCTCAGATGTCTCTTTTTGATATCAACTGACATGATTTTTTTGTTTTGAATGCACATTGCTTTAGTCCTTCTTAATAAGCCCATCACATTTTCACCATTTTGCCTATATATGCTTTTTCTGTGGTATTAACGAGACTATGCATCAAAGCAATTTATAAAAGCAGTCCTGGCAAATGGTTCAGAAACTGGTACAAAATTGTCAGCTTTTTATCACATACCTGTTTGTTCCTTTTCTAGCTTTTTGTTTGGCCCTTTCTTCCCTTGGTCTTTGGTTTTATTCGCTTCCTCATGCTGTCTTTGTTCAGCAAGAGATTTATTCAGCACTTGTGTGATCACGGAATCTCCTTCACCAACCAAAAACATGTTCTTAAACTTGTTATACAACATTGTAGACTTTTCCATGATAACCTGACTAACTTTGAATCGCCGTATCTGAGAAAACAATATATATTCATCACTGTTTTCCTAATTGATTTTTTACTTAAACAATTTTTAAATGAAGTAATGACAAAATTCAAAGAATCTACATGACTTGAAATCACTTACTTTTTTCAGTGTAGTAATCATCTCTGTGTGTTTCTGAGCTTGTTGCATTGTGACCTGAAGTGAAGCAAGTTCATCCAAGGCCTCAATGCATCTGTTCACATCCTTCATGACAAAACAGTAATTTCATAGCTGTTAATTATAACATTTATAATGTTTCTAAAGATCACTTTAAAAAAAAAAAAAGGTAGTGCAAAATAACCAGTAATTATCCCTTTTAAGTCTACATATAAGATCATGTGAGAAAAATAAAGGATGCAGCTATAAATGCAGTTCTGTAGTTGTAAATGAAGTTAAACACTTACAAGATTATCAATTTTGAGTGAATTTTTAATCTCAGCATGTATCCTTTGAAGTCGAGAATCCATTGATGTTTCTACAAATTAAAATATGTGAAAAACAGTAAACAGTTTTTCTAAAATCAGTATTTCTGTATACAGGCTAAGTATAATGAATCAGTGTACTTAAAAAAGTTCTTAGTAATCTCACAGATACACACAATAGCTTAACTAAGAATAAGTCGTTATTGCCATTTTGTGTCTGGGTGAGAAAAACAACATGCAGTGTAGATGCAAAAAACCACCACCTGGCTGTGTTTTTTTCCTAAAATGAATAGTCCACATCCAATAATTCCTCTGCTTTCCATTCCCTAAACACCTGCTTTTCCCAAGAGATTTGTCTGAAATGAGAAAGCATCCAGCTTTCAGCAAGTGCACTGAAATTTGACACCATCAAATAATTAATGAGTATTAAACATAAAGACAACATAAGCAAGTCTATCTGATTATGCTTATATTACAATGCAATTTCTAAAGCCCGTTAGGGACCTGCAAAAGTATTTGTCGGATATAAGAGTATAAAATGATTCCAAAACTAATACACGAAAAGTTATGTCTATATAACTTCCTTTCCATGTGTAATTTTATACATTTTAGAAAGTGAAATAACTAACCTCGCTTCTTCTCCACTTTCTTAACTTCTGGCTTCTTTCCTTCATCTTTATTCTGCCTATCAAATGTTAACACAAATATTTCAAAACATTGGAACTTTGTGACTGATTACTGAATGCCCACAATCCCTATGTAAAAGCTAAAAATGTTTTCCTTAAAATAAATCAATAGCCTAGACTGCGAAGGAACTGACTGTAGTTCTTAGAACTGTGCAATTCCATAATATAAATGCAAACAAAATTCAAATCAACATGCTAAATTAAATCATATCTAGCTTTTCAGTGACATCATAATAGTGTGTTGGCAAATGACCAATTTCAGGGTCACTGGACAAATAGTCCACAATGGGAAGAGAATACCTATAAATATTTAACGACTTCTACATCAATTATTTTTAAAAGCAGCATGTTAAAATAAACCAATTTAATTGTTGCCCACGTCTCCAAAGAATAGATAATTGAGGAGTTTTGTAGTTAGCTTCAAAGTTAAATAGACTTAAGATACCATACTTTTAAAAATTTTGGCCAATATATCAAATGATGTCCAGTAACATTCACTAACATTTCACAAATTAAAAGGTACCATTTTATTGTCAATCACAAAAATAACCACTTAAAATTGAAATCTTAATTTCTAGTACCTTGGCTTAAGAGTTCAGGCCATATTATGAACCAATTCAAATAGACAAGAACAAAAAATATCTAAAAATCAGGTTTTTTTTTTTAAAAAAAAACTTTATTTTAAAATTTTGGTTACAGTTTCATTTTCTTAACAAGTCTACTACTGTTTAATCTCTCAGGATTAAAAAAACAATTAAGATTCTAAAGAATTAAACAACAAAGGAATGTCAAGGGAAGGGCCCCATTCTCAGGGGTAAAACTGCTATTCCAGTTTAATGCCTAGCTTCAAAACAAAATGAATTTTTATATTTTCTAAATGAATAATGTACAACCACCATCTTCATCTGAGCTTGTTATTACTTTCAAACACAAAGCTTCATTTTAAGCTTGGTTAAAAAAAAAAAAAAAAACAGGAATGATGGTCGACCTTAGTATGTAGTGTGTACCTTACAGGAAATTTGTTAACAATCATAACACAGTAATGCCATTAATAATGAAGTCCTCAATTTAGAATCTGGAACATTCTTCCATCAAGGGGGGGAGGGGAAAATTCAGTCCAATGAGTCTGTCTCAAGATCTTCATCTCTTGTTTGCTCCACTTGTATTCTCTTTTCAGTAACTGGATTAATGCTTTGAGCCCAAAATGAGATATATTTTTTATTACTGTAGATTACATGTTGTTTGGCTGGGAATACAATACAATAAACTTTATTTTGCATAATGCATTTCATACAAGCTGCATCTGAAATGCTTTACAGAGCAAAACTGTCCAAGTACAAAGTTTTGTAATAACAGGAGAAGGAAAGAAAACACAAATATTAGAATTTGAGAAAGTTACATTGGAGGACATTCAAAAGAACTGAAATACATAAAGATAACTTTGAGATGCTAAAGAGGAGTTGGGCTACATATACTAAGTAACAACTAATTTTATCTATTAATTTTGGGAGCACAATCAAGTCAAAAGCAACAAACAGTCCAACAACTTTTCAGTGAAAAGATAGAAAATGATGTGACGAAGAATAACTTAAATATTTACAGAAGTGCTTAAAGTCTAACAGATTGGAGGGAGTAATATTTCTGCGCTTTAGATAAATTATTTAAATTACTCCCTCAAGCAGCTAAAAATACTTGTATATCCTCCAAACTAAGAAAGCAGAATAAAATGCTGTACTTGTGAAGACAGACTTTGGCTTACGGATGTATTATGTAGAGAAAAAAGTACAAAATTACTCAAGAATAGTTTCACTGCTCATCATTAACTTTGTCTTAGTGACCTAGAGCATGTTTTAAAAATCACCTCACTAAACAACAAAACAAAGTTTAGTCAGAATGTAAGACACTTCACAAGGAAAGAAAAGCATGTCAGAGAAAGAACTCAGAAGTGACAAGAGTAGGAAAGCAAATGTAATAAAGATGCAAGGTCTGTTCATCACTGCTATTACTTTTCCTTCTAGTAATAAAATTATATAATGAGGGGAAAGAAATTCCCCATGGCAAGTACTGTCTCTAAGTATCAAAATTTAAGAGAAAACAGCTTTGAATTTGATTTATATTGCACATATATAATAATATACACCCTGTCAGCCTTTAGATATACTTTTACCGGCTTCCTGGGTTTCCAAATGTGCTTTTGTTACTTTTGCTGGTCTTTAGGGTGAGGCTTGCTTGGTGGTATAATGAATAAAGGGTATATCCTGCATTCTTTCTCCACCAGCATATTCTCACCACTCTTCCTATGCGTATATTATACAAGTAAATGGCAGAGTATGTGTATACTTCCTGCAAAGACACTATCAATTAAATCCTATCTGCACTTTCAGTTTAAATTTAAAAATAATTCAGAGTGACTGCCTCAGTCAATTTCATCCTCTCAGAAAAGAATGAAGCCTGAAATAAGATCATCATCATATACTGAAGATTTTTCTAACACATGGGAAAAGTCACTTCTTCAAAAGGCTTCATAAAGTCTGGAAAATGAAAGTCTATTGTTTAAAAATTCCATGCTAGCCTTTAAAAAGAACCCAAAATTAGGAAAAAAAATACTTACTGCTCAGTTTCCATTTGTTCCTCTTGCTTGCGTTTTCGATCTGCTGCTTCTTTCTCATGTTGGCCTTTCAGCATATTCCTTCTGTGAGCAGCCTGAAAGTTCCTCCCACCTTTTCTCTTCTGTTTTGAGAATTAGGATGGTTCAGTTAACTAAAAAGTCAGTGATTAGTGCTTACAGAATTACAATCTTGGGAGAAAAGCAGCAGCTATTTTTTTTTAAGGGATATAAACTCAAAATTGGCAACCTAAAAAAAGCCTCTGAATTACACCTATCTCTGCAAATTTAATTAATGACCGTGAAATAATCATCTTGTTTTCTGCCCTGCTATAGAAGTGATGTCCTTTGGATAAAATGAAGTATGTCAGTCTGTTTGCCTCGCTACATAGTGATTTTACTTGAGTAGTGTGACAAGCACACTACACGACGTATCCAATTTAAAATTTTTGGTTTCTAAAAGATTAAGAAATTAGCCAAAAATAGGATAAAAGTCAACAAAAGATTTACATGACCTGGATCTGTAAATCTCTAAGGCTATACACAAAATTTTTATTTTTCTACACAAAAGGATACACAGTTTTAAAAAGATTTCCAACAACTATAGCATCCAAATAATGTTACATACCACTGATAAAATGTACAACAGGCCTGAAGAGTGTTAAGAATTTCTTTGGGGTGAGTAACAAAAGTCTCTATATAAATCCACCTCTTTTAACATTTGTCTTCACTGGACACAGCCTAACCTTTTCTAGACAAGTGGAGTTATTGGAAAGGTACTGTTTATTTAATTTCCAGATTGTAATTGTAAAATATTAAGATAAATTTAGAGGACAATAAAGGGATGTTTCAAATATGCTTTATAACATAGCTAATTCAAGTCCATTCAAAAAGGTAAACAAATTCAGTTAACTGTCACTGATATTTATAGACCTCCCTCAAAATATTAAAGCTTTTAAACTAGGTAAAGATTAGGAAATACATCAATGGTCTGGTACAGTGGCTTATGCCGATAATAATCCCAGCACTTTGGGAGGCTGAGGTTGCAGGATCACCTGAGATCAGGAGTTCAACACCAGCCTGGCCAAGATGGCAAAATCTCATCTCCACTAAAAATACAAAAATTAGCTGGTCATGGTGGCACATGCCTGTATTTCCAGCTACTCAGGTGGGTGAGGCTGGAGAACTGCTTGAACCCAGGAGGCACAGGTTGCAATAAGCCAAGATTGTGCCACTGTACTCTAGCCTGGGCAATGCAGCAAGACTCCATCTCAAAAAAGAGAAAAGAAAAATATATATATGTAAACTAAGAATAGAACAGCCATTTTATATATGTAAACTTTATACCTTTTCACCTTCTTGATCATCTCCTTCTTCTTCAGAATCGGAGGTTGATGTAACCCCTGTTTTAGCTAAATTTTTCCTTTTTGATTCAACTTCTTTCTTCCCCTCTTTTTTGTCTGGCTCTTTTCTTGGTTTATCTTCTTCCTTCTGGCCCTCTTCTTCCTTCTTAAGCTGCTTTTTAGGTTGTTTTTCCTCTTGCCCCTTTTTCTTACTTTTGTCCTCTTCAGTAATGCTATTTCAGAGAGCATAACAATGTGTATTTGTCATTCAACTATATTCTCCCAGTCAAGTGAATTGTATTTTAGATATCAGTAAGCTATAATTAATTTTTTATTTAAAAGCAAATCTAAAACAAATAGAGTGTCTTCACTATCCAATCATAAAAGAAATTCTGTCACAGAACATCCTTTTGGTATAAATTAGAAAATAAGGGCCGGGCGCGGTGGCTCACGCCTGTAATCCCAGCACTTTGGGAGGCCGAGGCGGGTGGATCACAAGGTCAAGAGATCGAGACCATCCTGGTCAACAATGATGAAACCCCGTCTCTACTAAAAATACAAAAAATCAGCTGGGCATGGTGGCACGTGCCTGTAATCCCAGCTACTCAGGAGGCTGAGGCAGGAGAATTGCCTG